GCTGGCCCCGGTCCAGGGCAAAAAATTCCATCCAGCCCCGGGGAGGAGGAGCGGGGCGGAGGAAGGAGCGGGAGGGGAGGCCGGGCCAGGGGAGCATGACGCAGGGAGGAGGGAAGGGACAAAAGAGACGCCGGGAGGCGGCGGCGGCCGGCGCGCCCACTGCGCCCTCCCTCCGCCCGGCGGCCGGCCCGCACCGCGCTCCGCCGCCTCTCTCCCGCTCCCTGGCCTCCGGGTGTCCGTCCGTCCTTCCCTTCTACCTTCCATCCTCTGCGCGGGCCGTGGCGCTCCTTCTGGCCTCCCCTTTCTCTGCCTCCTGCCCGCCCCCCACCCCTCTCCCTGCGGCTGTCTCCGGGTCTCCATCCCTCCTTCCTCCCGCTGGCTTTCTTCTCCCGCGTCTTGCTCCGCACGCCCCCTCCCAGGCAGGGTCCCGCTGTCCCTCCCTCCGTGTGCCTGGGTCCCCTCCCGTGCCACCGGGGACTCCAGGTGAAGCTGACCCGGATCTGCCCCTGGAAACGTTCTGTCTGATGAAGACGACAGAGCCAGCCGCAGAAAGTCCCCCAGTGGGGTGCGCAGGCGGTGACCAGGGGAGCCCCGAGGCTGTGAGCGCCCCGGGAGGGTGGGAGGAGTCCTGGCGGCGGGGAAGGCATGAAGTTAGACCTGAATTGTTCAGCAGTCGGGGCGTCCCAGGCCGCGGGCACAACTTAGGCAAAGGCCCAAAGGCAGGAAGCCAAGGTGATTCCGGACAGCGGAGCAGTCAAGTCTGATCACAGCCGTTGGGCCGGGAGCCGAGGAGTTGGGAGAGGTTGGGGTGAGTGGGCGGGGCCGTTCTCAGCGCGTGGAAGGCAGGGCTGGGAACTCAGTCCTGCGCGGGCGCGGGAGCCATCGAAGGTTGTGTGCAAGGGTCAGATCGGAATGTCAGACCTTTCTGGAAGGATGAGCTAGGCTGGGATGGAGGCATCCACTCTCGGGTTTAAGGGCTCGGACCTGGAGGCCGAGAGGAAGGGGTGGGGCCGAGAATGCCTGGAGGCTGGGGCGTGGGGAATGCTTGGAAGGTCTGACTGGAAGCTGGAATCCGGCCCAGGAGCTGAGAAAAAGGGAGACAGTCCCAGCGCGGAGTCAGGAGGGGAAGACGGTGCTAGAGGGAGAAGCTCCCTGCCTCTCCGGACCTAGCAGGCATCAAGTGCCGGAGACCTTCGGGGAGGACGCTGAGGCCCAGGTGGATGTGTGGTCCTGGGATTCCTTTCCAACCCTGCCACCAGAGACCCACCCAGTCCTCCCCTCTGCACACAGCTTCTGCGCAGTAATTTCTTGTGCATCTTTCCGGAGGAATTTATACATCTGTACATATATGTTACCCCAGCCTCCTCTTTTATTACTTTTTGTCCCTGGATGGAATCACATTATCCTAAACTGTTTTTTTTTTTTTTAACACAGTACCCTAAAGATTCCCCCATATCCATGCTGTTAGAACTAACTCATTCATTTTGATTTCTATATAGTATTCTGTTTATCCATAACCCATACAGTTGATTTTTAAAATGGGAGGTTTTTTCCTTTTTTTTTCTTTTAACAAACTAGTGTGTGTGCCTATTCAAATCCTCTGCTTTGAGTGTTTTTTAAAAATGATTTTATTGGCTGGGCATGGTGGCGCAAGCCTGTAATCCCAGCCCTTGGGAGGCTGAGGCAGAAGGATCCTTGCGAGTTCGAGGCCAGCCTAGGCTACAAAATGAGCTCAAGGTCAGCCTGAACTGCATAGGGAGACCCTGATTCAAAAAGAAAAATAAAAAATAAAAAAGATTTTTATTCAGTGCTTTTAAGGTCCACAACCCAAGTATTTGATAAATATTTCCAAGTCTTTTAAAATTCATCAGTAGTTCCTATAATGGTCTCTCATTACCTATGATTTCATTTTCCAAAGTTTCTGTTACCTATAGTCAGCTGTAGCTCCAAAATATTGCATGGAAAATTCCAGAAATAAACAATGTAGTGAAATCTCACACCATCATGCCTGGGATCCAAACCATCCCTTGGTCAGGTGTATCCACACTGTATATGCTACCTGCCTGGTGGTTATTTAGTAACTGCCTCAAGTTGACAGTTGTTATCAGATGGACTGCTGAGGCACTGCAGGGCTTGGGCTCAAATAATCTTTATTTTATTTACAAATGGCCCCAAAGTACAGGAATAGTGCTGTTGGATTTTTTATTACAATGCAGTTACAATTGTCCTATTTCATGAATATTAATCTACTAGTGTATAATTTATAAAGTAAATGTTGTCATAGGTATACAAGCCTAGGAAAAACATGCTATATAAACTTTCAGACTACCTGAGGTTTCAGGCATTTACTGGAGATCTTGGAATGTATTACTCCCCTCCCCTAACAAGGGGAAAATACTGTAATGATAGGGATAATGATGATCATTAGAACAACACTTCATTGAATGATTACTTGGGGCCAGCCCCCAGGCTGGTTATTCACAATGCATTACATCATCTATGACATAGCCACCTTATTATTAGAAAGTTAGTATTTTCATATAAGGATGAGGAAACTGAGTTTCTGAATAATGAGTTGCCCTTTCACAAAGTAAGTGACAGAGCGAGGGATTCAAACCCAGGCTGCTCTGATTCCAGTTATTTTGGGGCAGGGGGAGCTGCTGCTTCACAGAATGTGCTACCACTAGGAGTTGGTGTTGGCTTACACTTTGCCATATATATATGTATAAGTTCACATATGATTAAGAAGGATCCTGTTCCCAACCTGACCTGTGCCTTGATGTCTGGAGTGACTGTCACTGTGTTCATTCACCCCTGGTGCCCTGTAAACAGGTCAGGGCAGTAACTGCATCGCCATGCTGACCCCTTGTCCCACCCTGATCTAGCTGTGGTGCGTTGTGATGTCTGGGTCTGCATCTGCCTCTGGGAATTCACTGAGGGCACAGCTTGAATCATCTCTGTGTCCTCAGTATCACCCAACATAGGTGTGGCTCAGAGGAGAGGTGCAGGAAAATGTCCAATGAATGAATGGAGGGGTGCGTGAATTATCAAATGATTTGTGGTTTAGGCTGGGATTTGCTTAAGTCCCTGGGATAAGAGCATAGTTCTTGAAACGTAAGGCTTCCCTTCCCATAAGTTAGTAAGTCACGGAGACCACCGCTTCTATCATTCTGTAATACACAGGGCTCCAAATCTCTTAGCACCTAAAACACATCTGTTGTAATTTCCACAAATTCCTGAGCTTCAGGACCTGCCATTCCCAACAAGCCTGGAGACAAAAGGGCTACCATTCCCGTCAGTACCTGGAGCTTGGGTTCCCCTGGTCCCTGAGATGTGAGGTTACCATTCTTATCAGACATTGGCATACCAGTGCCACCATACCAGGCAGTGTCTGCTAGCCTATATCCATAGTTCCATTCCACTCAGACATCAAAGCCGCCATTCTAACAACTCCTGAGACTCTGGTGCCACCATACTTGCTACCCGTTGGAACAGCATTCCATTGTAGGGTAGAAACTCCTCACCCTTCACGGGGCCATCCTCAAGTTTCTGAAACGGGGACAGCTAGACAGAAGGAGAGCTGCCCCTAAGCTGCCCTGAACTAGATCTTAGTCAAGGACTCACAGATTAATACCCAGGAGCATTGAATAGAGAACTCTTTGTGAGGGATCAAGCCTAAACCCAGGATAATCCAGGGGTGCCAATTATACCTTACAGGTGGGGTAATCTTCATATATAATAATACAGACTATTCAAATGCAGCAGATGCTCCTATTGCTGTATGAATCCAAAATGGTAGCTTGCCCCTGTTGGATCTGTAGGTGTAAAATGTTTGCGTTGGAGCGGAGGTGAGAGAAGGATGAATCTTGTTCCCACTCTTAGCTCTTTTCTAGACAGGGGGCCTGGGGAAATGATGGTGATTGGGGAGAGTTTCCCATACCTTCTTTCCTTTCCGTGTACCTTGCCTTCTGTTGATTTGATGTGTGAAGGGTGTTCAGCTGCTCTTCTCTATATCTAAGCAAAGGGTTGGGCAGGTGGGCTGAAGAGCAAGGATCCTGAAGTGGGTGTGGTCTTTATAAGCCTCTCAGTTGCCATCTACTTTTTTTTTTTTTTTTTTTTTTTGGTTTTTAGTTTTTTTCCGGTACCGGGAACCGAACTCATGACCTTGCGCTTGCCAGGCAGGTGCTGTGCCGCAGAGCTAAATCCCCAGCCCCCGCCATCTACTTCTCTTACCTCCAGTAATAGCAGCTTTTTCCCATGCAGGACCTACTCCATGAGACTGACAGGAATGCCATGCTAGAAGCCAAAATATCCTGAGTCCCTCTCCCTCAGAACTTGGCCAGAACCTTTGTCACCAACAGGGTACTCAGAACATTCATCCATGACCCCCAACAACTGACTAGAATCCAAGATTTTATTTTGGATCTTGGTGCTTGATTTTATGCCTTTTAGCAGATACAATCATTTATACACATGGGTAGTGTTTTTATTTTCCAAGAACAGACTCACCTTGTGCGTGTAGCAAGGTGATTAAGAGCGAAGATTCTGAGGCTGGGCTGCCTAGGTCCTGGTTTCCCACTCTGCCAGCTATGTCTGTCAATGGCTGTGCTTTGTGGTCATTAAGGGAACGATAATAATAGTACCTTTATCGTAGGATGGAGTCATGAGGGATTAAAGGAGGAAAGTGCTTACAGTACCTGGCAAGTAGAATTGCCTGATGTTATTTCTACAGATTAATACAGACCCAGCCCTTTATTCCAATTTCTTCATGCACAGGCACATAATTTTATATAAACAGGGCAATTTGAACTTATGGAGGATTTTTTTTAGCTTATCTTTATTGACTCCTCTCCTTCTGCCTGTTCTCAGGTGACTCTCCACCCAAAATCACTCATTATCTCTTGACAAATCTATTAAATTGACCTTTTAAATAAACAGGGCAATTCGTACTTATGGAGATTTTTTTTCATTGCTCACCTTAATGACCCCTCTGTTTCTGCCCAGTCTCCCAGTCCAAAATCTAAAATCATTTATCATAGCTATTATGGGTTGAATCATATCTGTGAAAAGATATGCTCCTGTCATAATCCCCAGCACTTATGAATATGACCTTATTTGGGGGTCTTGATTGCTGTAATCAAGATCAAATCATACTGGGTTAGGGTAGGATCTAAATCCAGTGACTGGTAACCTTAGGAGGAGAGAGATCAAGAGCTCCTTCCCCCTTCATTCATGGTTTCCCTTTTTGCAGTTTCAGCTAGTGTTACAGCGGATGATACACTGTGTCAACTTGAGGAATCTAGAAGTTTAACTAAGTAACTCAGCAGTTCTACATCCTGAAGTGAAAAGGACACACCCTTACTGCTCTAGGTTGTTGTTCATTGTGTCAACTAGAGAAGTTTAAAAATTCAACTTTCAACTTGGAAGTGATTCAGCAGGGAGCCAGGATCCTTACTTTGTGAACATCCTCAGGGTGTGGAAGAGGAGGGCAGAGTGATGGTGTGGGTGTGGGTGTGGGCAGATTGCCAGCACACAATATAAGGAGGGAAAGAGGCTTGCTCTTACCCCTGTTTTGCTCTTGCTGCTTTTACTGTCTTCTGCCACCATGAACTGTTACCTTCTGCCGTGTGCCACTCTGCCTTGGAGCCAGCCAAGTATGGACTGAAACCTCCACAAACTGTGAGCTAAATAAACCTTGCCTTCCTTAATTTTGGGCATCAGGTCTTTTGTCTCAGCAATGAGAGAAAAGTAACTAAGACAGCCTCAGCCCACTGCCTTAGTCCACTGGTGTCTGCGTGGCTCCGTGACCTTCCCCCTGACAGATACCAGAGGTCTGGTAGCTTAACACTATGTCACCATGCCACAACACTCCCCTTACCTCATCCCATCAGCAGGCACTGATCTCACATCAGCACAGGAGGAAGCAGGCAGGTCAATAAGACGTTCTAAGAGAGAGACCATATTCCCATAACTTTTGTCACCAGTCAACTGCTGTGGTTCTTCTATTGGTTATCGTTAATATCTTGCTGTAATTCATCTATACACTAAACTTTTTCAGAGGGGGAATATGCATACATCACACACCTACACACAGACACAGGTTTCAGTACTGTCCATGGTACCCACTGGATGTCTTGGGATGCACACCCGATGGCTTAAGGGGTCTACTGTATCTGAAGAGAGATTTGGAAGAGCAGGTTGCAATGGATGCTGAGATTAGACTGATACATCTATGTCCCCAGAAGCACCAGGGATCTTGCCGGTCACCAGAAGCTGGAGCAGGGTGGGAAGAAGCCTTCAGAAGGAGCACGGCCCTGCCAACACCTAGATCTCCAACTTTAGTCTCCATACCTGCAACAGAATACATTTCTGTTGTTTAACGCCCTTCAGTTGTGCTACTTTGTTACAGAAGTCCTAGGAAGTCAGTGTAGCATCCACCCTAATCTCTGCATCCTAACATACTTTCACTTCTTGCTTAAGTAGCAAGGACGCATGACTATGCACATATTCGGGTTACATCAAAATTCAGGTCAGTCTCAGTGTTTGTTCAAATTGTTCTGCTTGATTTTGTCTCCCCTCAGTCTTTTGAAGACTGAAACATTGGCTGCCAGCGTAAAGGTCATTTCCGGCACCCTTGAGCATGTGTGGTCCCAGTGAGCATGTGAGCCACTGCATTGCCAGCATGTCTAATCAGTGCAATACCATTAATAACATGGACAATCATGTTCTTTCCAGCTGCTCTGAAGATCTTAATAGTCACTTTCAAATTTAAGCATTCTAATGTAACTTAGCGAGTCTTGTGTTCAAGGTCAAAAAGAAACTGTATCGTGCAGTTAAGTCTAAGTGTGCCTGCGTGTGTGTGCGTGTGGGTGTGTGTGGGTGTGCGCACGTGTGTGCCACACGTGTGTTTCTGTGTGTGTAATTATATAATTACAGGAGTAAGAGGCTGAACTAATTAGTGATGATTGTGAAAGCTAGGCTGCAGGTGTTTCTTCAGGAGACTGACTTTGAAACAGAAATTTGAGTGCAGGGAATTAACTGGGGACCCTCAGGATCCACGTGCACGGGGATCGAAGGGGACAGGACTGGGCGGTGGCGGGAGTCGAACCTCTGTACTGTCATGATGAAGGCTTCAGCTGGTCCCACAGACCTCCTGAGTCAGGGACAGGGGACCAAGCCTTACAGTACACATCAACCTGTTAAAAAAAAAAACTTGATAGAATTATTTTTTAGAAACAAATTTTACTAGTACGTGTTTGCCATGTATAATGAACATATTCCTCGTGGGGGTTGGTACATAAACCCAACACATCTCAGTTCTCTGCACTTCACTTCCCCTCCCCGCTTCTCCCCTCCCTCCATCCCTAAATCCCCTAGCAGAAAGCCAGACAAATTAAATTTAACAGCGTTTATTTAAGCAAAGAATGATTCATGAATTGGGCATCACTGAGACCCAGGAGAGGGTCAGAGAGCTCCACCCAGCAGGGTGAGCAGTGAGCTTCCACAGGCAAAGGCGGAAGCAGAGGGGAGAATTCCCTGACTGCTACTGCCGGAAGCCTGTCTTTGGTGGTGGTGGGGGGCAGCAGGGAGTGATTGACTAGCTGCTGGTGATTGGCTGAAGCCTAGCTGTTCGTGGCAGGCTGCAACCTGGCATTTGTTACCAAAAAATACCACGCAGTTAGTGCTATGGTAAATGTGTCTCCCATATAGCAGAGCTGAGGATGGGCCTAAAGGGAGCTGTTTGGGTCCTGAGGATCCACCCTCTTGAAGGGAGCAGTGTGGATTTTAAGAGGGCTTGAGGCTGCAGGGTCGATTTCTCTTGTCTTCTTTTGCCTCTCGCATTCCGCCACAGGATGACAAAGCAAGCAGGCCTCTCCAGAGGCCAGCAGCCCGACGGTGGACTCTGCAGCACTACAAGGAGCAAATTAATTAATCTCTGTCTCTGTCTGTCTGTCTCTGTCTCTGTGTCTCCCTGCCTGCCTGCCTGTCGGTCCGTCTGTCTGTCTGTCTTTCTCTGGTTTTGGTTTAGTTACATTCTTTTTTTTTTTTTTTTTTTTTTTGGTTTTTCTCCGGTACCGGGAACCGAACTCACGACCTTGCGCTTGCCAGGCAGGCGCTTTGCCACTGAGCTAAATCCACAGCCCCGGTTTAGTTACATTCTAAGCGAGGCTGCAGTTTGTGAGGTAGGAACTCAAAGTTCAGAGCCTTAGCCCCGTGACCGCCTGCTTATTTTGCTCTAGCAGACCCCTCGCTGGATGTGGGCTGACTAGGACGGGGCTGTGACCTTGGGGAGGCAGCTGCCTTCCTCTGATGGCTTCTTTGGGCTGCAGGAATCAGCTGAAACCTGTCAGCCACCAACTTCCGCCCCACCTGAGCAAACAGCGCTCCCACGACCCCATGCCTCTGACCCCCACGAACAGTGACAGAATTTCTGCACAGCTGTACAGGAGCTAGACTGTGTGTTAGTAAAAATATTAGGAGTGCTAAGGTTAGAAATCTAGGAAGACATTTTTCTCCTCCTGTTGGAGCCAACAAGTAGTTGCAAAAAATGTAAATAATATCATGAGACAGAACAACAAAGATTAGATAAGACGCAAAGCCAGAGATCAATTTTGTGATAGGCAGCTGGCTTTATAGCATTGCTTGGTATTCCGGCATCCACATTATTATAGAAAATACTCTTTTGTCACTCTGTTTGCTTTTCTTAGTTATTTAATTCCATTTAGGTCATACATCTTTTAAGAGAAAATGTTATTTGAAAATTTGTCACATTTGCGAAGACGGATTTTGAAAAGACTGCCAACTTTGCCGGCTTCAGTTTCTTGAAGTAGAAATAACACCATCTAGCATCGCATATAACAATTTCTATGATAATCTGTCTTTGAGGCGGGCATCAAAGACGGCAAAAACCATGGAAAAAATAAAGGGTTGGAAATGAGGTGCCCCAAACACATTTTGTTCTCAGTAATAAACTTCAAAACAACAGGTTTTGAAAGAATACTTTACAAATATAAATACTTCATGGTCTTCGGTCTATTGAAGCTAAAACCTTAAATCTGTCAAACTGACTGCCTAATTCTGTTAACTATTTTTAGAAGTGGAAGATGAAGGCTTTTCAAAATTGGCCCAAGCTATGATTCTGAAAAGTTCTTTCTAGACAACATGTTTTGAAAAATTATCCTGGACATTATTAAGCTGTGTGCAGAATTACTGTACTCATTGTAGACAGTTTCAACGTGTCATATGTGGGGCATAAGGAAATAACCAAGTGTCTTTTTATTTGACTTATGACTAATTTAGCTGCATTTCTGCTTGGTTGCTGAGATATACCTGGGCCTTGCACACAGGTAAAACGTTGTGGATGTGAATTACAGGCTGTACATAGACTGGAAAGTGGTAATTGTCGTTGACACTGGAACTAAAAAAGCAAAGGCTGTGAGTGAATTAGAAATCACAAACGTATTACGATTTGTTCATACCCTTTAAGCGTGTGTCCACAAATCAGCTCGGTATCAGCTAAAATAAATTACTGGCCAGGTGTGGTGTTGCACACCTATAATCCCAGCACTCAGGAGGCTGAGGCAGGAGGATTGTTGCGAGTTCAAGACCAGCGTGGGCTACAAAGTGAGCTCAAGGCCAGCCTGAACTGCTAGCGAGACCCTGTCTCAAAAAGACGAGAAATAAATAAATAAAATTACTGCTCAAAGCAAAACCATGATGAAGTCACATTTGCATCAATCTCTAGCCAAAATTAGACTCATGTCGTACTAATTTCAGACCTGGGTTCATACAAGGCATTCCAGCAGGATGGCAAAGCAGTGTTTCTATGTTCAAGGAGCTACTTAGGCAAAAAGGAAGCACTGCGTTCTGCCGATGTCAGTAATGATGCAGCGGGACTTGCTGAAAATGAAAGTGACTTGCAGAAAAAGTAGTTCCTCTGAAGAATCTGCTAAAGAAGCAGCCAGACCCGTGCGCTTGGAGAGAGGAACTCTTTCATGCGGGACGCCTACAGAAGAAACCCTGCTATCGTCCTGCCTCTGCAAGGCGCTGAAGTAAGCATTGAAAGCTGAGATAGAGGTGGGAGCTCAGAAGTCATCTTCACAGTGTTGTCCACCTTCCAAAATGACTTTTAACTGTCTCCACTTCCTAAGGTTCATGTTCATGCTGGATTGCAAAAGACTGAGGCATCCGTGTTGCTAGCAAACTCTCTGCTGCCTGCTGGGTGCTTCAGGTACTACCGACTGATGAAGGAGGGGGTTAGATTGCGGACCGCCATCTTGGTAATGCCCATGTAGCAAGGAAGCGAGGGGAGCTTGTGGCCGACAGCAAGCCAGAAACTACGGCTCTCATCCCAATATCTTAAGAGAACTAAGTGTTGCCACAGACCAGCAGCAGACTTGACGGTAGGTCATGCTCCGGGGTCTTCGGATGAGACCGCCCCTTGATGGCAGTCTGGTGAGAGACCGAAGCTAAGGCTCCAAAGAAGCTGTGCTCACATTCCTGGCCCCTGGAAACAATAGGATAATGAACGTGTGCTGTGGTGAGCTGCTTCATTTTGGAGTAATTTGTTATGTAACAATAGATAATTAACTGACTTTCAGTTTTGACGTCTTGCAAGTCAATTCCTTGCTCTATTATCCTATTTCTCATCTAGGATTTAAGGACAGATTCTTCCCAAGTGATTATGTGAGCCAACTGTCAAGTGTATGGTAAGATCCCAGAACATCTAAGAGAGGGCAGGACTTCCTCATCCTGGACAGTGGTGGGCCAGGCTAGCTGGATCAACCATTCTGCTGAGAACAGCTCAAGGTGCTGGATGCAGTACTATACGCGGTCTTTACAAAAGCACCGAGCACTTGTAAGTTTTAAGGATTTCTTTAAAGTCATGAGAGATGTGACAATCTAGCGAGAAATTTCCCAGTTAAGCTTGGGAAAGTGAGAGCTCAGAGAAGCAAGCAGAACATCCAAAGCTGCTTTTGACTAACGAGCATCTACTTGTTCTGATTATAAAAATGAGCTGCAGGTTTTAAGTCTCCTGGGATGCGGGTCAGAGAAATAAAAGTGGTACCTAATATGTGGTACTGTGGACGTGGAACCCCTGCTGAAGGAAGACGCTGCCACTGTAGAAGAAAAATGACCACATCCGGAAAATCAAAGACAAGAGGAGCAGGAATATGGTGAGCTGAGCGGTCAGGATCTCAATCAGAAAGCAATGGTGCATTCAGGGGCTAAATTAAGCAAAGAATAATGAAAGGGTTAGAAAAAGAGTGTAGGCAGATTAAGAGACCCAACAAGGGACGGTGCAGGATCCAAGGACAAGCTGTGGTGGGAAGCCGTGGGCACCTAGAGAGAGAAAGAGGGTGGTGACTGAAGCCAGCAGGAGCTACAGCCTTGCAGGTGGCCCATGTGACAGAACTGGGGACCAGATGACAATGCAGTTACTGCCAGAACTGTGGGAGGGGATGGGAGGAACAAAACTCTCCTCTCCTTCCGCCTTTGAATATCCTGCTAGAGCCTCCTATTGGCTGATCCCAGTGGGCCAGGGAGGCAGATGACGCAGTCCTGAGAAGCCAGCATCCCGGTGCACACAGCCGAGCTGAGAAGCACCCACATTGTCTTTAGTTGGATGAACAAGCTCACAGAGGAGCCCAGGCGCTCCCCTACCACCACTGGGTGATGCTGCGCTAGTCCTACTCCATCTGAAACCTACATGATCACAACAGCCACTGGCAGTGCCTTTCACATGCAATAGCAGGGTGAAAAAGAGGTGGGAATGAGACAGTTAGTTCCCATAAAGCGTAACAGTGACAGCTCATGCTTCTGTAGCTGCGGGAGCCTACACTGGCAATCACTTCACATCCTCCTTACCTCCTCGCGTACTTTGTTGACTTGACTGGGGATGTTTTGCCTAGCAGGGAAACCAAAGGAGCCACATCACTAGCGCTTCCTCTGTATTGCTTTGCTGCAGTTTCCCACTGATCATTGTTCTGGACAAGATCATTGTTCTTTCCCACTGATCATTGTTCTGAGATTCCTCAGGGAATGTTCTGGGTGCCCGGGCTAATCCTTCTGTATCCCACTGTATAGCAATAATCCAATTTCCTCACAGTATACTGGATCAGTCAACTACCTTAGCAGGAGGAACTCTTGCCCTGCCTGCTGGTTTAGCATTATGACCTGCCCCAAATGGCTTCCACCTTAAAGAAATCATGACTGTGTCCTTTGGTAGAAATCCTTCTCCTTTTGACACGAGGATTTGCAAACCCATCCACTTCAAGGCTGCAAACTTGGGAAGTAAAAATGGCATAAGTGTATGATCGTGTGTGTGTCAAAAGGCAAAATTACAACAAATTTAAAGGTTTTTGCTTGTTTGTTTTGTTTTTGAGTTTTTGAGACAGCATCTCACTATATAGCACAGGCTGACCTCAAACGCACCGTGATCCCTTGCTTAGCCTCCCGACTCCTGGAATTGCAGGCACGCACCACCACACTCAGCTAATTTAAAGGTCTTAATCAGTTCTATTTGCTGTTTTCGAATCAGAAACGCTTCATGTTCTTCAATATTCCTCTGAGCAGAGCAGAGGAGGAGACTTTCTTACCATGTTAGCTATAACCAGCCTGTTTGGGGATTTGGCTAGTCTCTCTCTCTCTTTCTCTCCTTATTTCTCAGAAGATGAGCTGAACAACTTGGTTGTGTCTTAGTGGCATAGAACTTTGGCATAAGTGACTCCATTTTGGTTTGGTCTGTAGGGCCTAACGCAGGAGCTCACCCAAACCAATGGCCCCCCAGACATTTCACTGACCAGGTGGAAGAAGAAAGAGGGGTTCCTTCTACCTGCTCTTCTTGGTGTTGCCATTGTGTATACAGTTGAGGGAGGCAGTTATGTCTGGTGTTGGCTTAAGTCAAAAACTGTGGTGGGCAACCTCACCCAGCCTCAGCAAGAGTTCACTCTCTGGTAGCACCCGAACAGCCTTGGGCAGGTCATCCCACCCATACCTCAAGTCACCTGCTCCTGTGAGGCTAAGTATTATTCCACTCCCTGGGCCTTAATTTTGCTGTCATTGCTGTTGTTCAGTGTACAGGATCAGGAACTGGGCCTTCACTGGCATAGTGATAGACATAAGGGATTCTTTTAAGGTAGCCGTAATACTTTCGGATATTTCCAACATGTGTCGTGAGTGGAAGTGCAGGGCCAGAGCTTTCATTTTTGTTTGTTGTCCACATCAGTCAGAGGCAGCCTATCTGTCGCATCCTCTTTATAATGGCCTTTATCACCAAGGCGACTAAGTGCAACTTAATCTCCCAAGGATTCGCCCTCTACCTGCCCTCTGTCTTATTCCACCATTGGTAATACTTTGAGCAGCTGTAACGCAATAAAATGACTACGGGCTTAAGAATAGAGTGGGTATAAAATAAAAGAGAAAATAGTAGTATATTGGAGATGTGCAAGTGTAGTTAAAATTTTATCATGTCTTGGGGAAGCTTAAATAAATTAACTTCTAGACTTTATTAAGTGTGCAAGTTATAATGTTTAGGATAACTAAAACCTAACACATAAAAATTCCAAACTGATAAAAGACAGTGGAACTAGGGAAGGGAAAATGTACCCTAGCAGTCCAAAAGCAGGCCGGAAACAAGGAAAAACTTATTGAAAAGGTAGAACACAAGGAGGATACAAATATGGTACAGTGAAACCCAAATGTTAGTAATGGTAGTAAACATAGTGTGAGGCTCCTGTTAAAATCAATTTGCTCCAAAAATAAATAGTCACCTAGCTGTATGCCTTTTACATGATGCATCTAAAACATACCAATGCAGGCATGTCAGGTAGAAGGTGCGCAAGCCTGCACATGCTCACCACAGAGAAAGCATGTGGCTTCATAAGGGTCAACCAAATAGACTTGAGAGTAAATGGCTCTATTGAAATAAAGAGGATCAAGGGGCTGGGGATTTAGCTCAGCGGCAAAAGCGCCTGCCTGGCAAGTGCAAGGTCGTGAGTTCGGTTCCCGGTACCGGAGAAAAACAAAAAAAAAAAAACAAAAAAAAAAGAAATAAAGAGGATCAGACCACAGTGATAAAAGTTTCAATTCCTCAAAATATTAAAATTCTTAATTAATATATGCTGAATCATAGAGCTTCAAAATATACACAGCAAAAGTTGGTAGAACTACTCACAAACGTAGTGGGAAATCTTAGTGTAAGTATCTCTCAATGAGTAAGGATGAAAAAATAAGTGAATATATGGAAAATATTGACAATATAATTAATAAATAAATTCTAGCAAAAGACAACACCCTGCACTCATAACTGTAAGAATGCAAGTATTAATTTTTAATTTGTAAACATCTGTAATCTTTCTAGGGTCATTAAACTTAACAAGTGATATTTGTAAAAATTCACCTGGGTCTGTCATAGTGTAAGTGATTTACATCATGGAAAGTATGTTTTCCAACTACTTTAAAGTGAAAATCTAAAACAAAACTATTGGATTCTTGAAGGTTTAGAAATTAAGAAAAAAAAAGGAAATTAAGAAATCACTTTTTAAAACTTTGTGGGTCAACCATGTAGTCAAATTGGAAATTAAAAACATTGTGAGACATATTAATAGCCTAAATGCACATTTTAGAAGATAAATAAGCTAAATTGAATTGAATATTTCTTCTGAAAAGACAAAAAGAATGTGGAACAAAATATACAATAAGCAGAAAATAATGAAAATCCATCAAAACTCTAAATTGTTTTTTGAAAGAATAATAAAATTGCTAACCAAACCACAAGGAAAAGAGAGAAGGCATATTTAACTTACATCAGAAATGAAATAAAGGACACAACCCGAGATGTGACAGACAATGAGAAATAAAAAGATAATAGTTTGGACAATTTTATATAAATATCTTTGAAATGAGAGCAAAATTAGACATTTAGAAAAAATGTCTAAAATATGCAACTTAGCACAATAGCTTCAGGAAAAAACCAGAAAATGTGAATAGCTCTCTATATAAAAAGAATCAGTGGTAAAAATTATTGCACAAGAAAAGCTTTAGGTCCAGAGGGCATAATCAGCAAATTATATCAAAACCCAAGAAAAAAACTTCATCAAGTTTTTGGGGGTTAATACAGTATAAATTTATATCAAACCCCAACATAAAATGAAAGTTAGGTAGGTACACAATCAGGTACACAAATATTTTTTAAAAATTAGCAAACTAATTAATCCAGTGCACAAATATTTTTAAAAATTAGCAAACTAAATTGAACTAGGTATAAAAAGGCTACTTTAGCATACCAAAGATGTCTTCACTTGGTCACACTAGCCATATTGCAGGTGCTCAATAACCATACGTTGCTAACGGCTACTATGCCAGGCATCACAGAAAAATAACATTTCTATTACTATAAAAAGCACTATTACTACTAGACATACTAAATGTAAGAATCATTTATCTATGAATCAAAATGGTAAAAAACACAGAGAGAAAAAATGGTAAAAAAAAAAAAAAAGTCATTCTCTGACAAAAGACCAAAGAGAAAAATCAAAACCACTATATCAGAATGTCCAGAAAATAGTTTCTCACACCCAGCAGAATTCAGCTACCTCACATACTAAAGAAACATAGAAATCATTGGTGATAATGGCAAAACTCTAAAGTTGTTCCATTAATGACAGAAACAAGGCAGAGTGCACTATTACCACAATTATCTTGTCTGTTTTTTGTTTTTCGTTTTTCTTCCATTACCAGGAATTGAACTCACGACCTTGCTCTCACCAGGCAGGTGCTATGCCACTGAGACAAATCCCCAGCCCCTTACCACAATTATCGTTGCTGTTGAAATGCTAGAAAAGCTCAACGGGAAGGTAAGATGATGCCATAACGTGAGAAATGAAAAGATGAGATTATTATCTTCACAGACAATGTGACCATCTACCTAAAACCTCGAAGAGAATTTGCAGGTAAACCTTAGAATTCACAATCAAGTTTTTCTTTTTGATTTGACAACATATAAGCTCTATATACTAATCAGATCCTGTGACAAGTCAACAAGTAGAATCAGATCCCTATCTCACACCGTGCACAGAAACATCCCCATGAAAATAACATGATTCTGAGGTTATAATTTTTAATTGGTTATCTTTTAATGTAAGGAAGTTATTAATTTTTTTGAAAGTTATTAATATTTATAAATTAACTATGCAACCCATTCTGTCCTCTCTCCCTGGGACAGGTTTCAGAAATATGGAGATATTTTTGTTTGTTCTAACTGGGTCGCGGAAAGGGTGCTCTGGGCATCTACTGAGTAGAAGCCAAAGATGCTGCTAAGCATCCCATAATGCACAGGATAGCTCACTCTCCCCACAGCCCAACAAAATATTTTCCAGTTGCAAGTGTCAAGTAACTAGAGGCAACACAAGAACTCACCTGACACTTAAATGAGTCATTGTGTTGCTTCTAGTTACTTCTTCATTCAATTTTGAATTTTCTAAGTGTATGGTCACGCTGACTGCACATAATGAAGGTACATCCTTTCCAGCTTTTGTTCTGCTTTACTTGGTTCTGTTTCATATTGCATTTGGCTGGAACTTTCCCAGAAATGTTCATAACAAGCAGCTCAACCCTGTTTTGTGGATTTCTATCATATGAATTATGGATGAAGGTTGTATGTCCCACTACTGAAGACCTAGAAAGTAGACACTCGTTCTCCTGAGAACCTAGCAGCTTGTGTGCAGGTGTCTGACTAAACTCAACTTCATACCTGATAAAGACATGAGGAAAAGCTCAGCACTCACTTCGATGACGCTGGCACTGAGTGATGCTGTCCCTGAGCAAAGCTGGCAGTGGTTCTCCTATCGTTGTTTCCTTGGGTTCTGACCCAGTTTCTAAACTCGGTACTTTTGGCCTTCACATCCTCTCTGTCAGGTGCCCAATGCCCTGGCAATGGCTTCTTTCTTTCTTTCTACCTTTCTTTCTTTCTTCCTTCCTTCCTCCTTCCTCCTTCCTTCCTTCCTTCCTTTCTTCCTTCTTTCCTTCCTTCCTTCCTTCCTTTCTTTCTTCCCTTCTTTCTCTCTCCTTTCTTTCTTTTTCTTTCTTTCTTTCTTTCTTTCTTTCTTTCTTTCTT